GCCACCTTAGGTGTACGTGGCTGGCGCCTTAGCCGGTTGAGCTATAGGCGCCGAGCCTAATTTTTTTTTGAAATAGAGATTCACAGCCAAAGCTCTTGCATATTTATAACTACACAATTCACAATCACAAAGACGTGAAAACAACCCAAGTGCCCATCAATATATCAGTGGATTAATAAAATGTGGTACATGCGTACCATGGAGTACTACTCAGCCATAAAGAAAATGACTCTTGGATTAACCTGGATGGAACCGGAGACCATGTTTCTAAGTGAAGTATCACATGAATGGACAAACACCACATGTACCTACTAGTAAATTGGAACCAATACATCAATATTGACGTATACATATGGAAATAACACTCATCGGAAATCAAGCGGGGAGCGGGGGGGAGGAAGGGATGGGTCAATTTATACCTAACAGGGACAATGCACACTGTCTGGTGATGGGCACACTTTGGTGACGATGCTGGTGCAGCTGTGGGTGAATTCAGCTGTGTGTGATAACAGGCTCTGGTGGGCTGAATGTGGGGAGCCAGGGAGAGGCAGTTTCCAGGCTCTAGTGATTGAGTAGGTGGTGCTGCCACTCACTCAGTGAGGAAGAAGGAGGCCTGGGAAGCAGCGATGCTTTGTTCCTGATCTTGAGATGCCAGTGAGAAGTGGTAGAGCCATCAAAGATGTCCACATCAATGGGCTTGGAGCTGGGGAGCTGTTGGGCTAGAGATGAAATGTTAGGACTATCCAGAGGCATTTAAACCTGCAGAACTGGAGGAGGTAACTTGGGGAGAGTGTGGTTGAGGAGGGAAGGTGGCCTGCAGAACCATCAGTGGGGCCACCAGTGTGTCAAGATTGAGTAGAAGAGAGAAAAACTATGAAAGAAACTAAAGAGTGCCGGGCAGAGGGACCCAAGAAAAATCAGGAGGGTCTTGTCTCCTCAAAATGCAGAGAGGAAGGCTGGGAGTGGGGGCTCACGCCTATAATTCTAGCACTCTGGGAGTCCAAGCCAGGTGGATTGCCTGAGCTCAGGAGTTTGAAAACAGCCTGAGCAAGAGTGAGACCTCTAAAAAAAATAATAGCCAAGTCTTGAGGTGGGCGCCTATAGTCCCAGCTACTCAGGAGGCCGAGGCAAGAGGATCACTTTAGCCCAAGAGTTTGACCAAGTGTTTGAAGTTGCTGTAAGTTATGATGCCACAGCATTCTACCCAGGGTGACAGAATGAGACCATGTCTGAAACAAAAACAAAAACAAAAAACCAGAGGGGAGAGTACCTCCAGGAGGAAAAGGTGGGCAAGTGTTAAATGCTACTGAGAGGATGAGTTTGATGATAATGGGAAAGGGGGGCCCAATGGACAGAAGAATGTGTAAAACCCACCAAAAGGATCCCATCAACCAGATCTGGAAGGTGGAGAGTTCTCCAGAAACACTGACCCCTTTCTTCAAACCCTAAGTGACAAGAAAAAAAGAATAAATAAATATATAAAAGGAGGGCTGTTGTTAAAGATTAAATGAAATTCAAGGAACATACCAGCCAAGTGCAATGAATGGCTCTTATTTGGATCTTGAATCAAACTAAGCCATTGGAAAAGACATTTATGGAGCAATCAGGGAAATCTGAAGACTGATACTCGGTGATATTAAGGAGCCATTGCTAATTTTTTTTCATGACAATGCAACCGTGGTCATAAGTTAAAGAGTCATTATCTTGTAGATATTCATACTCAAGTAGTGATTTATTTACTAGTAATACAAATAAGTGAGATTTGCTCTAAAATAGCCCAGAAGAAAATAAGGGAGGGAAGTTGTGGGGTACAGATGAAACACTGGCCATCTGTTGATGGGGCTTTCAGTTCATGAATGTTCATTATATTGTTCTATTTTATTTATGATCAAAAATTCCATAATAAAAAATGTTAATGAAAAAAACTCAGAATAAAAGTGCTTGTTGGATTTGGCAAGAAAGGTATCAGTAATTTGACAAGTTCAATCTCCGTGGATGGAAGGCAGACTGGGGTGGGAAGATGGCCCCCAAGGTTTCTGCCTCCTCTTGAGAATGGGCACAACCTGTGTTTACGATGGTATATTGCTGTGATTAGGTTACATTATATAACAGAAGTGAATGGTGAAGAAGTAATTAAGAAATAATCCTAATCAGTTGACTTTGAATCGATCAAAAGAGAGATTATTGTGATGGGCCTGACCTAATCAGGTGAGACCTTAAAAGAGAGAGACTCGCTTTATAACATTCACTGTACTAACCTGTCTTCAGGATGGGGTGAGGGGTGGTTAACAGTTATGCCCTCGAGATAAAGTCTTAGTGAAAAATAAATGTTGTTTAGTTATATTTTCAAAAAAAAAAAAAAAGAGAGAGACTCTACTGCTGGCCTTGGAGGAGCAAACTGTCCTACTGTGAAGAGGGCCATATGGCCGGGCACAGCTAGAGGCCTATAGTTGCTGAGAATGGCCCCCCATTAGCAGCCAGCAAGAAAGTGGGACTTTAGCCCCACAATTACAGGAAACTGAATTCTGCCAACACTCGGTAAGCTTTGAAAGATGATCCCAAGTTGCAGAAGAGGTCATGGCTTGGGCCGACACCTGGATTTCAGCCTTTGAGTTACTGAGCAGAGGATCCAGTGAAAACATGCTGGACTTCTGACCCACAGAAACCACGATGGAATAAAGTTGTGTTGTTTTAAGCCATTAAGTTTGTGGTAACATATTGGACAGCAATAGAAAACTAATACAGATGTTTGTTTTATTTGGTTGGTGTGTGTGTGTATTAGAGATGTTTGTAAGCTGTTGGAAGTGATCCAGTAGAGAAGGCAATACTTTGAGAAAGTTAGAGATCCTTCGAGGTGTGGTAGCTCACACCTATAACCCCAGCATTTTAGGAATTAGAAGGATTGCTTGAGGCCAGGAGTTCCAGACCAGCTTGGGAAACACAATAAGATACTGTCTCTACCAAAATAAATAAATAAATAAATTAGCTCAGTGTGGTAGTGTACACCTGTAGTCCTAACTGCTCAGGAGGCTGAGGCAAAAGAATCACTTGAGCCCAAGGATTTGAGGTTGCTGTGAGCTATGATGCCAGGGCATTCTACTGAGGTGACAAAGTGAGACTCTGTCTCAGATAAATTAATAAATAAATGCCTGGTCCATTAGCCCACAGAACCTGCTGGAAGAAACAGGCACGAAGGGTAATGCTCTAAGTTTCAAGCTCTGTACTTGGAGGTGACACACAGCAATTCTGCTCACAGACATTGGGAGCTGGGAAGCTGGGAAATGTAGTTTCCACAGGGAGGCTGGGAAATGTAGTTTCTAAGTTGACAGCTAAATAACTCTACCGTTAATCCAAAAGAAGGATAGGATGGATTTGGGTGGATATCCAGTAGTCATGGCCATGGGAGTATTTTAGCAAATGAGCATGGTAATCGTAATATATGATCTCATAATTTACTTAATAATCCCCTGTTTTGAACATGCAAATTCACCTATACACCTATTCTTTTTTTCCCCATTTATTTCCTATGACAGATACAAGATAAACACCAGTTAGCCTAAGTTTTAAAACATTTCCTTTCCCATTGAATGACCAATAAAGATCTAAGTCCAATCGGTAAAGTGAAAGGAGGCACCATATTCCTATTCTAACTGGTTTGCCAATTAACACTTCAGTTAATGGCACATAAATTTGGGGGAGTAAAATTTCTAATAAGCATCTTCCTAGAAACATCTTCCTGAAAAGAAATGACAAGCTAGTGATGAGCAACCAGGCAAAGCTTAAGTGAAATAAGAGATAAGTCAAAGTCTAGAATTGTTTCTTCCTGAGCTCATTTGCTAAATGTATGTGTGGGCTTCAGGTTTAATGTTCTCATGAAGTCCAGAACTTAACCGAGAAGATAATCTGATATGAGACCTCAAACAGCCACTCTCTTAGGGTAAAGGTGAACCAGAAGAAACCAATACACCACCCCTAGGGAACTGTAAGAAAGTATGCCATAGTGCCCCCCCCCAAAAAGGAAGCAGAAAATCATATACCTGAGAAATTGCATCTTGAAGCAACTTCTTTTGCTCAGCATTGAAGGGTAAATCACTTCACATCACTTATTATCGTCCACAAATCTTCAAACATTACATTTAGTTTAAATCCCAGGCTTGTAATTCTCCTAGGATCTCATAGAAGCAGGATTTCAACATATGATACTTTTAAAAATGTGAACTGTTTAGCTCGGTGCCCGTAGCACAGTGGTTATGGCGCCAGCCACATACACTGAGGCTGGTGGGTTTTTTTTGTTTGTTTTTTTTTTTTGAGACAGAGCCTCAAGCCGTCCCCCTGGGTAGAGTGCCGTGGCATTACAGCTCACAGCAACCTCCAACTCCTGGGCTCCAGCGAGTCTCCTGCCTCCGCCTCCCAAGCAGC